ATTCAAATACTTTATTTTGAATACCATATTCGGTAATTTTATCACTGGTGACAGATTGAATCACATAATTTTAATCATTTTATCTCTTCGATAAAACAGTGGGAAAATGGAATTGATCTGAAGAATGTGACTTATCTGTGCTATACGTTTAGAACAATCTAGTCACATATATACTTGTCAAGGTATTTTACATGGAAATTAATAAAGGCCAATTAAATGAAGGTTCAAGTAAGAATTGTTAATAAAGGAAAAAATTGATATTGTATGGAAAGAATAAGAGATTGTCGCATTACCCCAGGCCATATAATTACCTAACAATTACCACGGGAAATTCAAGATTACAACAAATTTATTTCTGTACACATAAGCGGGGTTTGAATTTTCAAATACTCAAGGTTTCTATAAACCTGAGAGTTTGTCCTTGACAATTTCTATACAACATTTAAGAAGCTGAATTGATGTCAGTTCTGTACCCCGTTTCAGTCATGTGTCTTACTATCGATGAACATTGTTTTCTACTTCCCACGTAAATCGGAACATTTGACATTAACTGATTTTCCAGCCATCTCGGCATATCTTCCTTAATCTTTGATTTCATTGTTCGATTACCTCCCCCTATGTATATGTTCACACAGACATGTAAATTGGCAAACGTAATGGTATGTGACGTAATCACTCATGCATTGCCTATGTCTATTTGGAATCATAGGCTAAGTCCTTACAATCACAACTAGTTTAGCAGCGTAATAGGTTTTCTAGAGGGCTGCTTTTAGTTTTTATCTTAAACTTATACTGTTAGGCTCACCTCTAAATGGTAGAGAGATATAAACAGTTTTCTTCGGAACAGAATGAAAGACAGGTTTTGGTGCTGAGTGACTTTTGCATCTACTTATAAACTTTAGTGGATAACCATTTGATATTAGTGTGTTATTTAACAGCTTTGAGTCTTCTTCAACCGTGCCTGTGGTGCAGATTCATTGAATCACATCAAAGACGTACTTAACCAAGGCTCGCTTGTGTTGCAATGGACAGAAACTGTAAGAATTTAAATATTGATCAGCCCAAGTTGGCTTCCTATAAACTGACCGACTTATAGTTCGATCCTCCGTTCAACTTAAAAGTATGTCTAAAAAGAACAATCGGTCATTACTTTGTTCCCCGTAGGTCATTACGATATCATTCTGTACACTATTGAGTGTATCTGTTTACTGAGCAACATCAAAATCTTTATCAGACATCATCCATGTATCTCCTGTGCAAAGTTATCTCACTAATGAGCTTACTTGAGATATTATCAGTATATGACATAAATACATCAGCTAAGAGAGGTCCCGAAGGGCTGCCCATAGTAACGTGATCAACTTGTCGGAAATGTTCACCTTCAAACGTGAATTAAACTTAACATAATAAAAGCAGTTCTTTCTACGGTGTTGCTAATTCATGTGTAGGTGAACCACACATAGATATTGGTCGTAATGAATTACTAGGTTTATGAATTTTAAGTAATCCATGAAAATTTGGGAGAACAGAACCTATAGGTTTTAGCAAATCAAATTCCTTTTTGTTTATAACATTCACTTTAAGGAGTTTCACTAGACTGGGATTTACCCTGAATTCCCATTATGTAACATTAATTTCGAATAAAACTTCAGACAGAAACTTACTTTGATCACCAAGTATCTGACTATCCTTTATTAATCATCATATAAAATGCATTGACAAGTATATCTGTGACCAAACTATTCTAAATGTATGGAGCAAATACATCACATTTTTAAGATCAATTCCGTTTTCTCATTATTCTATCAAAATTTATGAACGGAACTAATTGCTTTACATTTTATCTTTATCGAATCATGATTTAGCTAAAATTATAAGAAATAATAGACCCATCAATCAGTTAAGATTTTCCAGTAAATCAAATAACTTTATTTGTCACTATTTGAATGATAAGCTTAGTGTGTTTATTCTTTTCCAGTGTTAACGGGTAAAAAATAAACACAGGAAAGAAAACAGTATATGAATAAATATACACTTAGAAAAATACTTTTTTTTGAAAGTAACATACTAACTCAAATTCTAACAAAACTATTGAATGTTCTAGTTGAATAATGTTGTTTTGGCTGTCATGGTGATTTAATATTACCAAAATAAAAGAAAACAATATTTCTATTTATTGACAAACTAATAATTATTTCTTTAAAAATCGTTAAATATTTCTCTTCTCTCTCTTCTGTCAAGTTATTTACGTATAAAGTGTTTCGGAAAGAAATATTTTGTTATCATGGGCATAATTTCTATAGATCGATAAGTTGGTTACAAATATATACGAATATATATTACCGTGAAAGTAACTAGAACTTGTAATGATTTTTTGGTATAGAATAAAATATAGTGTTAAACTTAAAGTCTCATATTTGTTAACTAAAGCAAAAAAGATACACATATATCAGGTTGTTTAAGTGATTGAAACGTGTCTAATTTATTACATAAATTCAGTTCAGAATCATGAGATAAGGCAATAAGAATATGAACAAGTAGAATAAAATCACCAAAGATGTAACATACTGCATATCGTAAAGTAATTACTTAAAAGCCAAACTAAGAGTAAGTAGGTTTATTATTCCACTGAAGATATTAATGTATTATGCTTTTCTGAGTGTTCATTGTAAATGATAATCACGATATTGAATTTCAGCTAATTTTCAATAACGAATGTTACAATTAACGGTTCTTGAGTGATCAGTATTTCAATAACTCCTTTGAACAGATGGATTCTTAAAAGATTTTTGTCGACTAACACAAATAACGTTTACTTTACCAAAAGAAAAAATAACTACATACTATTGTCAACTAGTAACCTTTTAACGGATTTATGTCACGAAAGCATTAATCTATAGGCAAAAGCAGTGTTATTTTCCTTATTACTCCTGGACCATATTTTGTAGTCAAATGATAAATTTACAAAATTTTTAGCTAAAAGACAGAAACATTTCGTGACGTTAAGTTCAGTTGCCCTGTTGAATTATGCTCATTTGTTATAGAAATTCAAACAAAGACTAGACTATTAAAATTTTTTGGAGAACGTTATATACTGTCAAAGTTATTTACATGTCCGACTATTTTTCTTACGATAGCTATCAAATAAATCATGTCAGTTCTTTAACGAATCAGTGGCTAGTTGATAATCAGACCGGGATCAAAGCTTATTTTTTCAAAAACCAAACTACAATTTTTTTGTAAACTTAAATGTTTGCATATCACCTGAGTTTTTATATTTCATTGTTGTTGAGAGATAACAGAAATGGAAATACCTGGGCTAAAAAAGGGAACTTATTAAGAATGGGATCGAATAAGTTTACTATTTTAAACGATTGTAACACGATCAGATATCTTCATTCGGAAATATACAGTATAACAACAGATAAATACTTCGAAAAAGTAAATTCTTTTAAAGCGAAATATTCTTTAAAAACCAGAAACATCCATTAAATGAATGTTAATGACGTTTCACTCTATTAAGTGAAATATACGACGTATGTGAAAGCGAACGGGTATATTTCCTTAAAGACTACTTATATTTTCAAGAAGCTTATCATATGTTTGAAAGGAACTATTTACTAATATCTAATACCGCTGGATCTATAGTACACCAAGTAAGAAATGATAACAATCAAACAATGACATGTTTTCAATTATTAGCATAGTGGGTAAAATGATAAACTTAACTACTCATTGAATTAAAATATTTATTTTTACTTAATAACAAAATGATTCCTGAGAATTTTTTTTCGACGAATAAGAACAATTATCACTTATCTCCATTTATGCGAAAGCTGTTACATTTTGGACTGTTTTTTGTTAGAGAGCATCTTTAAATACACTTATGAAAAATCGAATAAATTGTTTTTCTTTCAAATATAAACAGCTTTGTTTACTATTTCACTAAATTAAAAGTAAGGAACACATGAAGAAAATTTACAGGTTGCTTTACTTTCCATAAAACATTATGAGTGGAAGACATCTTCATCAACAAAACAACAAAAAAAGTGAGTGGATATCAAAGTAATGCAAACATCATAAGTGATTAGGCTATTGTCTTGTTTCTTTTTTATAGCTACAATGACAAGAAAGATGTAAGCCTAAATTCGTAAAAGTAATGATAAAAAGGGAAGAAATGAATAATATGACAGAAGAAATAATCTTTCACATATGATAAAGAGCTATTAGAACAAAATCAGATACTAATATAAGGAAAATGCTTAAAAATTCAAGAGGAAATATTTCATCAGAACAAAAATCGAACCATTCTACATACGTACTTGGCATAAGTAAAACAATATTCTATTATATATATATATATATATATATATATATATATATATATATATATATATATATATATATAACTCAAATACAAAGTAGTTTTTCATAAAAACATGAAAGTAGATTAAAGTGAAATAAAAAGCAAAATTGGAAATTTTAAACAGTTAAAATAAACATTTCAAAATTACATAGAAGAATATGAAAACCAAAATGGTGACAATGAAATAAATCATAAAAATAGTATGATTCATTAATTTTATTGAAATAATTTTAAGATATACTTGGTAATTATATATATATATATATATATATATATATATATATATATATATCATTGGTCTAATATATCCACAAAATCGAAAACAAACAGTAATGAGTAGAAATATAAGCAAAATGATTTAGGAATAATTTAAGGCAGAATAATTCAAAAAATCAGTTTATGGTATACCTCTTTTTAATCTATGTAGAACAAGAGATATTGCAATCATTAGGAGTTATTATTGTTTGTTTATAAGATTGGTGTGTAAAAACATGTGAGCAGCAGTTAAAAATTTGGGTATCCAATGCGTAGCAAAATGTTAGTAAGTATGCATGCATGCTCAGTCTGCATAACTTGTGCGTCTACTCTCATATGTATTGCTGCTAATTGCTACATACTTACTATATACTAGTTTCTATTTTTTGATTTTTGATTCCAGAAGATTTTGTATTTTTTCAAATGAATCAGAACCCATATAATCCATTTGCCCACGTTCCCAAGCCAATTGTCTTTCAGATTCATCACTGGCTTGAGTCAAGCTTGAGGAAGATTGACTTATCTCAATCTGAGCCAATTTACCCACAAAATCGCTCTGTTAATTTTTTCCAGAAATATATAAAAAGACAAGTAAACCATTTCACTACTCTATAAAAAAATAATAATTAATGTTAGAATAAACCAACGACGGTTAAAATGTGATGGCAGAAACATAGGTGATATCACGACTTCAGAGCACTGACAACATCCACAGAATAATTCTTACCTGCAGCGTTGATAAAGTCTATGAAAAGTTAATTAGGACAGACAAATATCATTACTACGGTTGATTTTTGTAAAGGAAAACAATAATGAACTTTTCAACAAACCAGCTATATTCAAAATAACAAGAGAATATCCGTGTAAAACGTCTCCTTTCATTCAAAACTATAAATAGTAACCTCAATGAAATATTAATGAAACAAACCCGCTTTCAGAAGCCCAGACGGGTACATATGAGATAAATATGCTTAGGAGTCTCCAACATAAAACTTTGTTGGTAAAATATGAGTTTTATTATTATTAAAGTTAAGGCGTTGAGACTTCCATCAAATTAGAAACATCACGAAAGTGACAAGTTCCATTTTAAAACAATACTGTGTGGACAAGGCATCTTAAAAACAAGGAGAAATGTAGACTTATTTCGTGTCACTTTAGAAATAATGGTAAAACGTGGTCCCCTTATCTGAGACAAAGCTCTTGATTTTAAAATAACATGACGATAGCGTTACAGTGGATGGTTTGCAGCATAGTAAAGCTGACCCCTCTATTAATATGTTTGATCTCTAAAACCAATAAAATTTAAGCAATGGTGCTTACGTAACCTCTGATGAAATTATCATTACTAGGGTCTATTATTTTTGATAATGAATGATAACTGACATTAACTGTTCAGTACTCTTGTGTGGTAACTAGCTTTTCATTTAGTATTATTTGATGGCAAAGAGTGAAACTTATTCCCATAAACAAAAGATAGAGGTCCTGGTACGGCCGAGAGTGGGGGGAGTCCGCTCCCCCTCTCGAAATGCTCTCATATGGCCACGCATATACAGCCCCTGCCAGGGAAGTCCTACTCACTGCCTTCTCGTGGCACTACTGTTGTTTACGAAAAGCGAATGTCCGGCGCTTTAACCGGATCCCAAACCAATGGTGCACATGGGCTCCAGTATCCTGAAGGAACAAATGGCGTATGAACCAATCGTTGGTCACCGGCTACCATGGGACTGCATCTCCTCACGATGCTCCACTGCCTTGTGGATCAGATCTTCAGGTCAAAGGCTCGGGGTGTGGCCCCCTAAGAAAACCACCTGCTTGGTTTGGGCACCCGGGCAGTATCACAGCCCTCACACATATCAAATGAGATATGTGTGGGGCATATGTATTTGGTGCCTTCTTGTACCGATATTTATGTGTTAAAATAAATAAATAAATAAATAAACATACAAAAAGTGAGTGTAATTAATTATGCTCGACTCAATTTAAGGATTATCATTGATGAATTTTGAGTGAATTTGTAATGGTATCAAGTGAATATGCGTTACCTACGATAGAAAAGGCGCTCACCATGTTATATGACCCTATTAATCCCAAATACCTACTAGCTACTATACTATTTACAATAGAAAATATATGGAAAGATCTATTTTAGATCTGAACCAATAAACTAAGTAGATGATACTATTAAATATCGTTTGTGATCCAACATTCCAGGACTTAGTTTTTCCTCTGAACAATTGATTCTTACAAACTTGTATCTAGTATAAACAAAAAGTATAAACTAATCATATGAAGCATCCACATAGGTAAGTTTTAGGCTCTTAATACGACAGACGTTATTGCTTAACCTGACAAGTAATATACTACCTTACTTAATTCAGAAGTTTTGATAAACACTTCCCACTTTTATAAAAGACAAAGAGAATTTGAAGGGATTTGGTATTATAAAGCTAACCAGTCTGTCAGCGACAACCGAATACAAAATTGGAACTTTGACAGTACTCACCCAGAAAGTATGGTTTTGAACATGGAGCTATTGACTTTATAATACACGGTAAATATAAAGTAAAACTACAAAACAGTTATCAGTCATGATTTAATAAATAACATAACGTAAAAAATTAAACTCTTTAATATTCCTCAAAGGTTTGAAAAGATTCATTTTTCAACAAGATATGATCGTTTTTGCTTTGTAGAACCATTCTGTCTAATAAATGATACAAGTAAAGTCCCAAATTGTTATATTTGGTTTAATAATGGTGTATAGAGGGACGTATTCATGAGTAATTCACTTACCTCACCAGGGGTTAGTTTTGGATGAACGTGGGTCATAAATAAATTCCACCAGTGCTGCAAAAATTCAGGAGTTCCAAAACTTGTGGGATCACGAACAATGACTTGTCCAAATTTGTCCAGTTCACAGTGCCAAGGTTTCTCTGACCCAATAAAATGAACAACACGAATTTTATTACGAAAATGAATGAAGGCAGGTGGATAGGAGTAAAATGCTTGGCTGATGACATTGTAAATGAACGGTAAATGAAGACGAATATCTTTAGTTGCCCAATCGGAGAAGAAGATATTCAGCAGACCCTGAAGATAAAAAGATGGAAAAAAAGGTTGACTCCTTTTGAAAAATCGGAAAGCATGACTAATTTTTCACAATCCACACGTACATTTTCAATCCAGCATTAAATACTACATTTTCACATCAACAACAGGCATAATGCCTAAATTATTTGCACGTCTCCTTAATATAAAGTGGTAATAAAACAAAATATTTAAAACTCTTATTTTAAGGTTCTTGATCACCTTAATATTAGTTCAGATAAGCGACTACTTTGCATGCTGCTGCCAAATCAAATATAAATGATTCTCTTTAACTTTCCAAGATTGAAATTCTATGATCTAGATTCACAAGAAAGAAACGAGTAGACAGACAGCTAGTGTGGACGCAAAATGGCCCAGTTTTACCAGTGAAATATAAAAGCAATCCCTAAATCTAAATAAGTCTTGTGAGAAGGATTTTATCACGGAACCCGTAAATTATGTTGCAACTATATTATTCATTAAATATTATCACACTACATGACGGACTAACCATCTACACTTAGCAACCTACACCTAACTTTAGTGTCACCCAATCGGTAGTCTCATCATCTGTATATCAGTCGGTCATACATAACGTAAAACCTGGAGTACATATCCATCGTTTAAAGTTGCCACAACAAATCAGCACAGGGGGAAGCCAGAGTAGTAGAATTCGTAATAGTATCGATATACGTTAATCCTGTAGAAACATTTTAGCAAATAAAATCAACCCAACGCACAAAACTGGATAACATGCATTCAAATTCAAGAAAACTTGATTACTGACGTAATAAAAAACAATTTTGTATTCGTACCCTCCTGTGTCGAGACAATAAGAAATCCCTGAGCTGGATGATTTGGTCGTGGGATTTCCATTGGTCTTCTGAACATCACCATCAGTACAAACTTGAAGTAGAAGTAAAGGACTCGCATTTCTCCACAAATGACTCAGCTTGTCCTGTTGACCCTCAACCTGTTGTTATCTGCCTCTTTATTTTGAATCTGATTCCTGGTCCTATGTTTGTCCTTCATTTTTCTGACCCACATGAACTACAAATCTCTGTCATTTTAAAATCATATGAGTAAAACGCACCCCTCATCGTTCGAAAATGGGAACTTTCCACCAAAAAGCAGGCTTCCACTCGAGAACTTTACTTTATCCAAGAGTATTTTCATCCGCATGTTTTGCTAACAAGTGTAAGATACGGACCACTGATTAACTGACCAATGGGATGAAGAATAGCTAATCAAGGGGGAAAGAAAATGGTACACCTCATAACAAATTATACACACCTCAGAACCCACAAATACCAACACATCATGGATGACCAAGGAAGAACAACGGCGATCGAGATATCAAGCAGATAACACGGAGAACGAAGAAGAGACATCCTTAAAGAAAAATTTATCAAGATTTGAAAGTCACCCACAGAAGAAAACACAAACAATCGCGTGGTCAACCTATCAAAACAACCTCTGACGAACATAGAACACCTCCTCTAAAAAATCTTAGATTACAAAACAAGTGACGTCTCAGAACCAAAATTCTTCGCCGCACCAAAATTATCACTCAAAACTGCCAGAATAAATGAAGAAACTCAACAGGGTATAAGCCAAACCACAGTACCACCAACTCGACAGAAGAAAGATAACACCTAACTGACCGCACAAAAACAAAAGGCCTTAAAGAAACTCAGAAGTAGAAAATATATTGTCATAGTTCCAGTGGACAAAAGTCTTACTACAAGGAAGAGTATATCAGTAAAGCCGACGAACTACTTGAGAATAAAAGCATATATAAAACAATGAAAACAAGTAAATAACAAGGATCTTAAACGAACATATCAAAGCACGTCAAATATCAAATTAAGATCAATGAAGAATGAAATATAGTATACCGGTAATCCTTCGACTCTACGGTAGGCCAAAAATATACAAGCCAAACATCCCACTACGTCCAATCGTATCGCTCCCCGGAACCTAAACATACAAAGTATCGAGAAATTTCAATATTTAAGCATTAAGTGAATCCATCCAATCACTCCTTCAAATCTCCCATACGATTCTTAGATAGGGCTAAGGAGATTTAGATCAACAACGACAAAATGGTTATATCCTTCGACGTATATCGGAGACCAACCTACATAGACCAAATTCTCAACTGCGGCAGCCACAACTCAAGAAATCACAAAATCAACTGAGTGCAAACTTTACTCGAGAGGAGGGGTAAATATACTGCAGAGCAAAAAAATGTCTGATGAATATCTTTCAAAAGAACGGCTTACTGCCCATAAACAAACATCAAGCCAAGTTATCTGTAGAAACGAGACCGAGTACAGAAACTAGCAAATAGACTACCCTATTACACGTAAAAACATATAAAAAATTACAACGCAATTATTGAAGGCGTTTAGAATAAGCGTAAGGCACAAACAGCAGAACCACTTCGATAAATTCTATCCAAACCAAAAGACAAAATGAAAAAAGAAGAAAAACTGAACATCATCTACAAAACAAACTGTTGTGATAGCATAAAACACTGAATAGGATAAAATGGACGACCCCTCTATCTTCGTCTGAATGAACATCAGTTGGCCATAACATATCTTCGGTTATATCAACCCATATGGACAACTATGGACACATTTGACTGAACAAATGTTGAAAACATGGATAGGAGGAATACCTAGAGCACTAGAGAACTTTTAGAAGCTTGGTGCTCAAGTCAGTTGGCAATCACGAATCCAGTTAAATCTATCCAGTCCGTCGACGTATCGGGAAACTCATGGACAAATATAGGACTGAGGATCAAATCAAAATAAAGAAACAGATAACAACAGGTTAAAGGTCTACAATAACCGATAGAGATCAACGGGACAAGCTGAGTCATATGTAGAGAAATGCGAACCCTTCACTTCTACCTCAAGTTTGTGCTGATGATATCGTTCAAAAAACAATCAAATCTCCACGGCCAAACCACCCAAGTCAGAGAACGAAACTCCACTAAAAGCATACAGCTAAGCAGGAAATTCTCCCCACCATCACAATAAAAATATTAAAACTTACTTGATCGCCCCCATCAAAGCTTCCATGGCTAACAGCAAGACTTAGTATCTTCTTGTATGTTTCCAAAGACGGTTTGAAAACAAAAACTCCGGAATTGAAACAGTCTGGCCAACCTGGATCCGGAGCAGCACTGAGTTCTTCCCGCTCAAATAAATCATCAATATTTTTTAACACCTAGTATAAAACACAAAATTGGGAAACAGACATTCGTTTCAATGTTTTAATTGTTAAAAGTCAGATATGAAGATGGACTACACCTGCTAAGTTACGACGTGATCTTTTTAATACAGAATGACCAGTGAATAATAAACTACAAGTTAAAATGATGTAGTAATTCAGGAAACCTATGAATCTATGAAACATGAGGGATAATGAACAGAGTAGATTCAAAGCCTGTTTGACCTATGTAAATGCAATACAAACCACTGTATAAAGGGAAAAAAATTAAAGGGTCTAGTAGTAGAATGTTTTTAGACCTTTGAACGTTCTCGCTTACTATCAAAGCAAAACTTTGCATGTTATCAAGAAACAAGAAATTGTAAACAAAACTTAAAAATCAGTAAATATCAAATTAGACAAGAAGTGAACGAGGGAATTAAGCACTTTTTATGAAAGTAACAAGCTCCTATTTTGTAGACTCGAGCAACAAAATCCTGTCATACATATAACTACGTCCTCGTTCAAAGTAAGATTAACACAATGATCACTAAATCAATTCATTCACACTATATCATAAGTTTAGTGATTCACCAGATGTAGTGCAAAACAGAGCAGACTAAAAAACCTTCGTTGCATAAAAGCAGCAATACGTGACTTTTTCATCACTCCCATCACATATACTTAGTACTCAATATAAGAACGTCGTATATTGAAAAGCAATAACTCAAAAACTTTATAATTACTGAGGTAAACAGTAAGACAAAAACACAACTCACTTTCGGTGCATAAAGGTGAGATAATGAAGATAAATGCTGTGTAAACCTATCGTTACGCATTCAAAATGCGACTTAGTGTAAGTCAGAGAACACGTCGGGTGAAGAAACTTTGGATACGACGAAATGAACATAAAAGGTTTCAAGATATTACGACATCGTCGATGAGTACAGCAAGCAAAGGATGTCACGCATTTTTTCGTCTGTTACACACTAAACTACAATAAAAACTAGGACGCCACATCACATCAATCAGAGTTTAAGGTCGTTACGATTTGTAGCTGGACAGTGACTCAAACAAAGTAGTTAATCAGTTCGAAAAACTCCTAACCACTTAAAATAATATAAAGTATGACATTGCAGTATCACTTCGAATAATGCTGACTATTTTATTTAAACCCTATTACATTTCCGTGCAAGTGAGTTGTATGTTAAAAATCAATATTAGTTCGAATATCAGCAAACAATAAAGTAAATTACCACAGTGTCAGCATCCATGAAAACAGCTTTTGCATACTGAGTTAATCTCCAACAATGAAGCTTTGTGAAGGTTACCCCTAAGTCTGGTCTCGAAAGTAATGCCAAGTTCGTTTCGTCTTTGCTATCAAGTACATCAACGAATTCTACATGGTCAAATACAGACCCCATAATATCTCTAGGAATAATACAATAACGGCAATTGATTCATACAGCATTTGCTTCGAAACCTGCTTTGTTGCCAAACACACAACCTGTCTCGTCGTCTTTACTTCTCGCAATGAATGTGCCCAAACAAGAGCACCACATGCGTATTCATCATTTGTTGCTAAAGTAACGAATGCTTCGCACACTACAAATTAATGACAAAACATTATATACTTATTGTTACTTGACAGGAAGTTAAGATTAATAGGGTATCAGTTGCAACTCCGTCTGAACAGCTGAAACTTGTAAAACTACTCGTACCCTACACGTTTTTTTATCATGTAAATAGGGTATTAAAACTAAAAACCATCTGTCCAATATACAGTTAAGTAAGTAAGAATTTTTAACTTCTGTGTTTTTAGTCTGTGATATCAGCAAAAATTTCAGTCAAAATATTACACTGCCTTTGAACGAATACTTGATTTCAATATGTGTGGTTTACATTTACATTCATGGTTTTATTCTCAAGGTAAATTTAGATTCGGATTTGTGAATTAAGGATCAAAGGTCTATATCCTGGCTTCTGGTAAGCTTCAGAGAGTGTTTAGTCTTTCCCCAATCGAGTTTATTGAGGGGATGAATACTACTTCTTCGAGTAACTAGTTCCAAGAATTAACGACTCGGTATGAAAAATTGTATGTCACTGTTGTTTGTTCTTGGCTTTTGTACCTGCCTGTATGTCCTCCGAGTTCTCTCGATCAAACACAAAGAAATAGGGGATATATTAGCTTCAGAATCATTTCTTAACATTTCATGCATTAAAATCAAATCATCTCTTAATCTGCGGTAACACAGAGTAAACAGGTCTAGCTTTTCAAGCCACCCTTTGCACGATAAAACCCGGAGTTTTGGAATTGCATGGGTATCTGTACTTTGTACTTTTTTAGGTTATCCGACTCTTCTTTCAACATGTGCTTGCGATCTGAATGAAGTTTTCAAGTTTAATCCTCACTAAGGATGTGTATACTGTAGTGAACATGGTAGTATCTTAGTTGATAAATGTCCGTTTTAAATCCCGCAGCGTTTCTAACCCCTTAGATGCAACCTCCCGGCAATGAGCCATGGTCTTAAGATAGCGACTCACTGTCAGTTTAGGATCCCTGTGAGACTTGACCACGGGTACAGGCACTTTCCCTATTCTGTACCTATTAACTTTTGTTTCCCTAAAGTGCATGGAGACATACTTGGTGGTATTGATGGGCATCAGGGATTGTTCTGACCAGCTAGTCGAAACATATAAGTGCGCTTCAAATGCACACACATTTGAGTCACCTTTGATTTCTCACCAGATTTTTATATCATCAACGTATAGTAGTACGTTAAATTCACTATGAGCGTGGACTAAACAGACTCCCATGAATATGTGAGACGAATAATATCCGCGACTGAAGATAGGCACTTAAACAGTCGCTTGAGTTATGTTAAAAACAGGACTTCAGGCATGGATATTTTGGTGGATATCAGTTCTGTGCCCAGTTTTATTTCTCAGAATAAAGCCAAATTCGGTCGAAAATTTTCCCTACTTACACTTCAAGCTGCCAACTACACTGAAATCACATTTTGGGCGGAAATTGTTGATGCTAAATCTGGGCCTTATGTTGCCATTTCTCTGGATATTTGCTCTGTTGGACTTAGACATAGAAATACTGTAAATAGTGACCTGGTAGAAATATGAACTTCTTGTCGACACCAAGAAACGACGTTTGACACTTGGCGAAACTTCGATTTACATATAAGGAAGAGAAAGTCACATCGCTTCTGTAAATTGAGTAAAAGCTTCTCCAGCGTTTGTAGTAAAGTTCTGCAATATACTCGCGGAACATCCAAACTTTACCAAATCTAACCCTCGACCTTCCAAATGTACGTTAAATGTAAGCCATAAATTAATGAAGAATTTTCTAATGAGGTGAGTCGGGAGTGCAGGCAGTGAGTAATTAGACGAAAGAATCTAACAAAATCTCTGTGGACACCTACAATAAACCGAGCCAGTGAACTCCCGAAGTATTAACGGATTCTGAAAAGGGTCAAGGCCTACTTTAATAGATCACTAGGTAATCTATAATGTTTGAGGTGCTTTACAGCATGCAATATTTTGTATTCATTTAGATTAATGATATGTAATACATCACAATAGCGTCACTCCTAAACTCTTATTCGAGGTATGATAGATTCAATGACTTTGTAGAATTATAGTCCACTTCGTTAGTAATACCATTATAATAATAGATCTAATCTTTAAATTGTAAATATGTCATGATGTGAAAATCTATAAATGGCTGTCGTCAGACTTTAATCAACTTGACAAAATTCCATTGAAGCAGCCGAAAGGTAAAGTTACTGAAGATATCAGTCATGGGTAAAGATAACTGAGAGAAAACAACACTTCGTTTGCGAAACTGATTATCAGTCAGTCAATCAACTGATTTTGCTTTCATATTTGTCACTTACATCAATCTTATTGCACGATTTGTAAGTCGTTACATTGCTCTATGTGGATATCACGGAACCATTACAATAACAACTCATGGTTGAAGATGCCAGAAATATTCGGATTTTGGCAACGCTTTAACAAGTAACACCTTCTAATATGAAGCGTACCCACCACGTGAAATCAAAAGACAGAAGCGAGGAGATTTGAAGATATATTTGATAAGCTATCAATATATCGAGAATCGTCTGAACTAATCTGGCTAGCGACTGCAGTAGATGTTGAGCACGGCGTTCCCACACGTGATCTGGTGCGGATGCATGACCGGGCACCTTGAGCTAGATGAGTCCATTAAAACTAATGTGGCAAGCATCCAATGCCGAAAACTTACAGAGCTATTTATATTGGGGATTTATTTACCGCTACACATTACTCCCCCTCTAGTGGGGTAGTGATGACCCTAAGACGTGGCCAGCCAGAAGTTTAAACCCAACGAGTTTTTCGTTGGTAAACACTCTTCTGATAGCTTGCTAGGTTTAGCAGCATCTGGTCGTCTTTCCTTATTATAAGGGATCATGAAGTACAATATAGTAAAACAAGAAAAATTACAATGAAGATTTCCGTTTCTCGCAAACTTCATGGTTCTTTTTTTTCGTCTTTTCCAGCCGTCTTGGAAAAGAAAAAGTATGTAAGTGCATGTCGAAATACACTCGTACGCACGTGAAAACACAAAGCTGGCGAAAAAATGGAAAATAAACTCATACTCACGTTATAGCGTAAAAAATGGATTTTCATAACATGGATTTTTTTAAATAAAAATAAAAATATATAAGCATATAAATTTTTTTTCAAAAAAAGTTATATATAGTACAAGGGAAAATCGAGACGATATAAAATGTAAACTTGTTTCTAACGTGAAGTAATCGTTCAAATAATAATAATAATGATGTTCTGGAAATCTTACTCTTCTTCCAGAACGCGTTGTTTTAAGTTTATTTTCTGATACTGTCGAAGTATCAATGTGTGTGTAGGCTGTCGGTTGAGGTATTATAGGTGTGGGAGTCGTGTCGTGCGATTGAACTGAAGTAAAGTCGACGTGAATAGGTTTTCTTTCTAAATACGTTGCTTTGAGGCGATCGATGCTGATGCTATCGTTGGTTCCGTCGTCATCGATTATATAGTACTTGTGTTCGCGTTGAAGAACTTTGAAAGATCCCTTGTATGCTGATTCGAATGGTCGTCGATACGAGTCGCGACGTACGAAGACGTGTGTACTATATCGTAAGTCAGGTCGAACGAAAATATCAGTTGATTGTGGTCGAGTGGAGACAAGTCTAACTGAACGCATTGCGTTTGTAAGCCTGTTTGTGTAGTAGGCCAGATCCATGTTCATCGAAGAGGTTGAATGATCCACGAATTCTCCTGGAAGTCGAAGGGTCGTACCACAAACGAGTTGAGACGCAATGTATCCAACGTCAGTTTTTACTGCATTGCGAATACTTAGTAAGACGAGTGGAAGAGCGTCAGTCCACTGAGAAATGTTTGAGGCTGATAGTGACGCTTTTAGTTGTCGATGAAAACGTTCTACTAACCGGTTTGCTTGTGGGTGGTGGGCCGTCGTTCGGAAGCGAGTGATTCCTAGTTTCATGGTCAGACAACGGAACAGTTCAGATTCGAACTAGCGTCCACCATCTGTAGTGATTATTGTTGGGCAACCGAAGTTTGCTACCCATCGTTCGATGAAGGCGCGGGCCAGTTTCAGCAGTAGTGTCTTTGATGGGTACTGCTTCTGACTATCGAGTAAAACGGTCTACGCAGGTTAAAAGATAAAAATATCCATTCGAATCTGGTAAAGGTCCTACCAAATCCAAATGAACATGGTCGAAGCGTGCATCGGGAGTTTTAAACGAGCCTAGGGGACATTTGTTATGTCTAATCAGTGTTCTGATGAGCAGGCGTTGTTGCTTGAGCGATACGTTCCCTAACTGTGGAAAATGCTTTTCGCGCGGTGTCGTCCAGATTGATGGATTTCGCATTTCCACGAAGTTGGTCGGAAAAAGGTTTCATAATTAGGGCGCATTTCGGTATGAACCTTCCATAGAAACTTACCAGACCGTTAAACGTGCGTATTGCCTGATGGTGGTCGGTTCTGGGTAATCCAGAATGCCGCCACTTTTGTTGTAAGGGGTCGGATACCTTGCGCATCGATAGTGTGTCCTAGGAAGTCTAAGGAGTCAGTTCCGATTAGGCGTTTCTGAATGTTTACAGTAATGCCATGTTTTTGTAGTCGGTCGAAAACAAGGTCCAGATGCTGGAGATGCGATTCTCTTTCCGGACTTGCTATTAGGCAGTCATCAACATACGCATATACGAAGTTGAGACCTCGAAAAACATCATCTATGAATCTTTGGAAAGTCTGTGCCGCATCTGTCAGACCAAAAGGCATTCGCAAAAATTCATAGAGTCCGAAGGGCGTTATAATAGCAGTTTTTGGAGTGTCGTCATTGGCCATAGGAACTTGGTTACACGCTTTAGCCAAGTTGATTTTTGAAAAAGTTGTACCTTTCAAGGTAGCTGTCAAAT